CTAAGGTGGGTGGAGCGTGTGAAGGAGATGATCAGAATCACGTCGAAGGGGCGTGCTATAGGTTGGATGGACTTGGTGTGCTCAGGGTGGCAGGTGGAGGGAGCTGTTGGAGATGGCTGGAGCTGGGCAGGATGGGGCTCCCCGGTGAGCCCGGCCCTGGAAGGTTGGGGTCAGACTCCTGCTCTCCCGTCCTGGCCCCGGCTCTCCCAGCTCTATGGGTTGGGCCAGGTGTTTCACTTGTTTTCCCTCAGAAAAATGGGCGAGTACAATGATTCTCAGCTCACAAAACTACCCTGAAGATTAAGTTAATTAAGGTATTTAAAGTTCTCAGAGCCCAGTAACTGTCTTACATAAATAACAGCTGATATTACGGGCTGGGGAGAGGGAATAGGCTCACAGCAATCAGCACAGTGCTTCTCCAACCTGAATGAGAATAGGAATCACCTCACGCGCTTGCTAAAAGGAATATTATGATTTAGTGGGTTTGGAGTGGGGCCCAAGATTCAGCATTTCTGATAAAGCTCCCCGGTGATGCTGTTGCGGCTGGTGCGGGAACCACACCTTGAGTGGCAGGGTTGTGGCAGTCCTGATACCTGCCCCCCCGCACCCCCCAGGAGTGGCCAGCAACCATCCGTCATGGCATCAGGTGCATGGCTAGTCTCCATTCGCTCAGGAATGAAGGATGGGTATATTTGGACTGAGCACCCCGGCTTTCCTCCCAGGTGTAATTTGTACAGGAAGGGGCCTGGGGGTGGGGTGTAATAAGTGCAGTATCAGCAGAGTCAGCTGTGGGCTCCAGACCTTATAAGATGGGGGGTGAAGCCCGGAGGGGCTGAGGGAAGAGGCAGGGGGAGGGCTGTGGGCCAGAGAGCACAGTGAGGCCAGGTAGTAGGTGTGGGATGGAGGTGTCAGAGAGGTTGTAGGATGTAATGTCAGAGTATAAGATGGGGGACAGTAAAATATTTCCTGCTGAAAACTTAGTCTAATTTTATTTTATTTTTTTTAAAAAGAGTTTATTTATTTTAGAGATAGAGAACACAAGTGGGGGGAGGAGCAGAGGGAGAGGGACAAGCAGACTCTGCACTGAGCGCGGAGCCCGATGAGGCGGGGGGTGCTCAGTCCCACAACCCTGAGATCATGACCTGAGCTGAAACCAAGAGTTGGACGCTTAACCGACTGAGCCACCCAGGTGCCCCTAATTTTATTTTTTATTTTTGATGATTTAGAAGGCTTTTTGTTTCCTTGGCAGCACCTCAGATGTTATAAACCGCATTTAATTAGAAACATGTTTAATACTTCTGGTCAGTAGAATGCCTGATAAGGGAAAAGTTACTGGGTGTTGCTTTCTACCATGTCCGGATCACTCAGGTCAGGCTGTATGTTACCAGGTGGAGAAGTGCAGTGCAGGATTCCCATTGATGGAGAAATCATTCCTCCTGGGAGACGTTAATGTAGCGGTGGGAACAGCGGGCCCTACAGGATTGGACAAATGCTGCTAAATTTTGGCCAGTTTTTCTTGGGTCACATTCATCCTTTGTTAGAGAAACACACTTTAATTTCTAACATGCTTAACACCCAGTCTAGATAGCTTATCTGCTGGCTGTCGCCTTCTGTCCTTCAAACCTTTTTTCCTGTTCTGGTGTCAGGGCTCAATGTGAGATGTTGTACAGAGACCCTGGGTCCTGGTTATTTCTAGAAAGCTCTTGTTCAGAGGGGCGCCACTGGGAACATCCCAGTGACTTCCCCTTGTTGCTGCCATCCCGGCTCTGCCACCAGCAGTAGCCCGGGAGTCACACTGTTCCCTGCTTCTCTGTCTGAACCGGACTTCTTTTCTGGTGGGAATCAGAACTTTGGTTCAGTTTTTAAAATGGATTTTCATAAAAACGGGGTTTCGAGAAAGGAAAGAAAATAACCTTTCAGTAGAACTGCTCAACTGTATTTTATGCCCAGTCTTGGGAATAAATGTTACTGCATGTAAAACTTTGTCTAACCTCACTGTTGGACCTGAGGAATTTGTGAGCTCATGACTGAGCTCCTTTCTCTGAGAAGCATTGGATTCTTTTTTTAAACCCCCAGCTACCTCCTCTTGGCTTTACTAAGTTGTGAATTTGTTAAACAGAATGAGAGCAATGCAGTGGTAACCCCCATCCTCGTGGTAGGAGATGGGGAAGGGCAGAAGCCTTTACACATTTTTTTTTTTTTAATTTTTTTATTTTGTAGAGTATTCATCAGTTCCTAAATAAGAACCCCATTTGTTAAACAATGTGAAACTTAGTTGCTTTGGCTTTGGAAGGTAGAAGTTGTTTTCCTGGAGTCTCTGCAAACTCCCTGCAGGGATGTAACTTTGTAAAATTGCTTTCTGGTCTTTTCAGTGGAGGTCAATGTCCCATAACCGTGAAACCCGGGTTTCAAATTATGCTGCAAGTTCTTTTCTTTCCAGTAAACCCAGAGAGGATGTTCTTAACAGGTCTGTATTCTTGTTCTCGCGACTCCTATACCAATATTTTCTGCTACGTAGATTTTATAATGTTTTTGTCTTAATTTCTACGTTTATTTGTTCAGTATTTATTAGTTAAAGGCCCATGTCACCATTTCTTTCAGTGCCCGAGGCTATAATCTTAGACCTTTTGCTTTACCTTTCTCTCTTCCAGCAAATAAAACTAGGAGGGAGAGAGCCAGGGTTCTAAAATAAAATAGAAGGTAGCCATTTTATTGTCTGTGGTTGGAGTCTGCTTATAGAAACAGAACTGGCAGATCTTGTAAACAGAGAGAGGAGAAAGGGCATAAAGGAGATTTTAGGGTGTGAAGCTGCACTATGTCTGTTGTCGGAGACTTCCTTAGTGTAATCTCAAATATTAGTACTTGAAGAATACTAACTCATCAGCCATGCTTGTTTCGTTTTGTTTTCTGTTTCAGTAAAGGTAGAGTTCTGTTTCTGATAGTTTTCCTACTTCTTAGTTTTGTATGTACTTCTATGTTTTGTAATAGATGTGGCTTTAAAGTCTTTTAATGTAGTCATTAAACACAGATTTTCCTCTCTGTTGCTATCATCATGATGATTACTGCTAAGAAAATAATTTTATTGTATATGTCAACAGAAAATTATTTTCTCTAGGGGCGCCTGGGTGGCCCAGTCGGTTGAGTGTCGACTCTGGGTTTCCGTTCAGGTCATAATCTTGGGGTACTGGGATTGAGCCCCACATCGGGCTCTGCACTCAGCGTGGAGTCTGCTTGGGACCCCCCCGCCCCTCCCACTTGTGTGCTCTCTCTAAAATAAATAAATCATTTTTTAGAAAAAAATTTTCTTCTATCCATTTCTTTGTAGTTTTAAAGAGCAGTCTGTTCTGAATATCTCAAAGGACATTTCAGCATTTTTTTCCCTACACTACTTTGCCAGCATCTATTAACACATTAAAATCAGTATCATTAGGTCTTTTCCAATGATTCAAAAAATGTAAATGGAAAAAAATATGTTAAGCACAGAAGGGGTTGTTTCAAAGGTGAATTCGGTTTTTTTGGAGTGGAGAGAAGCTTTTTTTTTTTCCTTCTCTTTTTTAATTGAGCATAACTGTTTGCAGTTATGAATAAGAACTTTATTTTTTAACTTTCCATATTGAGGCTCAGATCTTCTAGACCAAGTGGTCAGGCTTTACAGGTTCCACATGATAATGTCTTTAAGTCAAACCCAACCCCGAGCCTGCACTGATTGTGAATTGACAATGACTGAACATGTATGTAAATCCTTACTTTACATTTAAGGTCTGTGGTATTTCCTTAGCATTAAGGAGGCTCCCATGATATAACTAACTAGTTTCTATTATGGAAAATAGTGTTTTCTTCACATTATAGTCTTTCAAAGTCTTCACAGGATGTTTTTAGACAACTTCAGTTTCACCGTGATCATTCAATGGTGTAAGTCTCACATTTGAATGGGAATCTGAAGGCTTTTTTCTTGCCTTAATTTTGTCCTTATAGCCCTGTGATTTTCAGTCACGTTCTGGGCCTTCATTTTCTCATCTGTAAAACAAGGGGGTCAGACTAGACCGTCTCCAGGGTCCCTTTCCCCTTGAAGTTTCTCCGAGTCAGTGGATCATTGGCTCTTATGTTCACATGTTCATCTGCTACATTGCTTTGTTTAATTATGTCTGAGTCCATTTTTTTTAAAATGCAAATTACTTTGGCCAGAGGCTCATCATTCTCAGTCATCCTGTCCTTTTAAAAAGTTTTGCTTTTTCACCCACACCAGGCATTTGGAAAGCATACCCCTGAATCACATCTCTACTCTAGTTCAAAAAAATGTTGAAATTCTTGCAGACAACTGATGTAATCTGTTTAGATTATCTGGCATGGCTGCTGATTATCTTGCTGTGTTTCTAGCAATCCCCCAAGTCTCAAAAGTGTTACAAGGTGTGTGAAGAATAGTCTGATGCTGTTTCATTTTGCTTAAGTAGGTTGAGCAGAATCCTGGGACAACAAGGGTGATGTCAGGTTCTGAAAAAAAGCGAGATGGCAACAGAAGAGTATTTGCTTTTTTTTTTTGACATAGGTTTTAGATCGCTGATATACCCCTAGATTCGTACGCTTTATTAGGCTCCCTGATTCCCCTGCCTTCCCTCCATCAGCAGTCTGTTGCTCACTTGCATTTCCTTAGGCAGTCTTGAAGCCGACCACATGGCCTTTAATGTGTAGTAATTAATGTTTACTGAAGCAAAAGTGAAAGATGGGTTTGATCCTGATGGCTGATGTGTGTGGTGTTCTTCCAAAATATTTTATTCTTCATGTGTGTAGTAATGCATTTCGAGAACATGATTGCTTTGGAAAGAGGACAAGTTTGGGAGTTTGCGGGCTGGGTGGTCCTTTTGGGTACTAACTGCTGTCCCTAATTCATACCGGTCAGGGTATCTTCAGGGTAGGCGTGCGCTGCGTAACCCAAGTTGCTGTCCCAGCGAGCGCTGTTTGCCTTCCACTAGTGAAGAATTGGGCCGTGTGTTTTGATTCAGGTGAGAAGAGTTCCTGGGTCAAGCGGTCACCTTCATAAAACCGAGGACGGTGACTGGGAGTGGAGTGACGACGAGATGGATGAGAAAAGCGAAGAAGGGAAGGCAGCTTTTTCTCAAGAAAAGGTAAGTGACATTGATGACGGTGAGCTAACCTGTGCACATTTTATTTTTGTGGCATTTCGTGGGTGCATGTATTAATGGATCTGCAATTGTTTTACAGTCACGAAGAGTAAAAGAAGAAAACCCAGAGGTGAGTGGTGGTTATTTATTTTAAAATTTTTTTGG